TACATTTATAATTACTTGATCATCGAGTAGTTATCAATGTCATTTTGACCTAATCTGTTAATGTTAACAGAATTCTATAGATCAAGTTGTAATTTGGCGCCTAATCTAAGGGATTAGTTTAGTGTTAATATATCTTTAGAAATCTATCTGTTTGAGATTCACTTTATCACTAACCTTATTCTATTGAGTTTTACCAAGACAATTTAGCTACCACAACACACAAGTCGAAACAAAGAACACATATGTAAATTATGCAGCAGAAGATAATCCACAGAAAAGTCAAGATCAATGTTAGGATCTAGTCAGTAGCAGAATTAAAGACTAGAACGAATGAGTAAAAATGTACTAAAATAACATGATCACAATTAATAGTAAAGCAAAAAGGCGTGCACACACAAATAATTTAATTTTTTCCCGCTGACTTACTTGATCTCCAGCTGTACGAAAAAATAACAAATCGAATGGGATCGCCGCTACCAGATCAATAATAAACCAGCCTTTAATATAATGAGCAGCTATACGTTTTGGATGTGAGACAACTTCATCATTTTTATTCACATAGGTTGTACGAAAATTAATTAAAATATCAATGATGAACATGACATCAACTAAGATGTCCACTGTGGATAATAATGTTGGTGACGATGAAGAGGTAGTGATTGATGGGTGGACAGTATGAAGAATATCTGATGATTCAGAATGATTACTTGCTGAAGATTCATTCTGTGTACGATTTATATCAAAAGTGATCGCTGTCAGTGGTGTTGTCGTTGTTATGTTTCTTGGCTTTAAAGTTAAAAAAAATAACAAACGAGAGATACGGTAACTTTTTTAAAGAAAATGGTTAAATATTGTATTGTATTGAATATGCACAAAATCTGGGGCTTCGTTCACACAATAATTGTTGTAACTAATTTCCATCAGTTGTTTGAATCTTCCCATTGATATTAAGCACTATAACAGACAAGTCAATGGGAAGAATCTAATGACCAATACAAGAATCAATTACACTTCACTTCACCGGAAAAGCCATTGGCGTTTGGAGTGAACGGTACGTCGTTCGACTCTCGGAGTGAACATTTAACCCAAAATGCAGATAAACCCAATTGACGAATTAAAATAAAACGAAACATGCATCCTGGGTTCCACTACTAACCACCATCCATCTCTGCTAGTAATTGTTGCGTTAGATATAGATGAAAAAAGTGGGGATTGTTGAGAACTATTACTCTAAAGTGGATTACTTCATGTATATACATATATCGACCTAAATGCAAGTTTTCAGTCAATTATTTATCTGAAGGGGTTTTATAGAGATTGTATTAATTTCAACAGTTGAGATCATGAGTTAATTGAAACTATACCACCATGGAAAACCTGGAAGCACTAGGACGAAATGGCCGTCCAGTTGAAATTATTTATCTGTTAATAGACTTTCTACTGCTTATAAATTACAGTTAATTAATTATGAACCCATTGTAGTGAACGAGAACTCAGATGGGAAAACCAATGTATTGTTAAGTGAAAAATCATATATTAAATACATTATTTGAACATCTTCAATCCGTTGTCTTGTATGTATCGTATAGTTCTTCTCATTTTATTTTTATTATAATTGCTCTCTATATCCTAAAATGGTCTCTTCAATTCAATCTTCTACTGGCAGACATTCTACTTCCGATAGCTGTTAGAAACTACTTATATCAGTCAGCATAAGTAGCATGTACCATATTATTACTTAGTTTTGTGACATAAATGACTTCATTTATAATATGTTGTAGTGTTTTCTACTTGATGTATATTATTATATGAGTTTTTGAATCATAAAATAATACAATAGTAAAGATTAAATCTGATGGCTTTTCTCATGTTTTCATTAGTCAGATTGGAAGCAGAAAGAAATTATATAAACCATTTAGTGTCAGCATACTTAGTTGCTATATTAATGTTTTTTTTAATCGTAAACGGATTTATCAATAATGGACTCAATAAGTTAACGATTCTCTTAAGTGAGCATTTCAAAATTGAAGTCATAACAACTAGAATCAATAGTTGATGTTACACGGCATAATTAGTTCTTTTTATTATTAATATGATTATGATTACTATTCCGATCAATTTGATGTTCACATTATTGCTGTTATGATGTAACAACTGTGTCAGAGATCCTACGCAAATTACAATTAACTAATCTGATAATGTTACATTTACTAAACTAGATTGTTTAAATTGAGAAATTTTTAACATGGTTCTAAACAAAACTAAGAATTAGTACATACATCAAATGAAAATCATTTAGTACAGATGATAAAAGTTTAGAAATGAAACAACTTAGCTCGCTAAGAATTCAACACACACACACACACACAAGGAAACAAATATATTCTTATTGAAGCGACTAATGAGCTTCTATACTATTGATATCAGTGTAGACTGATTGATAAAACTAATTAAACAATAAAGATTATGGACTATATAGCACTCATTACTATCAAATGATTACATAGTCAGCCAGTCAATAACAACGTTGCCATACCACATTAGTACAGACACAATTGTCGATTCAGATCCCATAGTGGTGGAGGTAGTAAAAGTATAGGCAGTAATCGAAAAGATTAGGGTTTGAAGATGTTATTCAAGGAATATAATCCAGTAAAATGAATTTGGAAAGAGAAAAAAAGGACATGAAGAATTCAGATTAGAATTTGGGAGAATACAATGAGTGGATGCACCTGCGCCACTGCTAACGATTTTGAGCCATGTCATTCGGGGTCTCTAACCATCGGTTGATATCATCTCGCGAATCCCAACCAGGTAGTCTACACCTACCAACATGGCTCAGTCCACTTGTCAGTGACTTCATGGAATGATTACACATATAACGTATGATTTTATGTTTTATTCTGTAAATTAATTTCAACTTTATTTACTTCTCAAATCATTGTATATTCATTGTAATTTTAAAATAATTTTATCATTGCTAACTAATGACAAATCTTGTAATAGAATGATATATAATTCCCTCTCTTTTTAATTTGTCCAAAATTAGATTTTGTGAAATTATCACTTCTAATCTAAAGAAGAAGAAGAGTGAAAAAAACAAACTTTTCCATAATGTACCCAATGACAAACATTATTTTATTTGCTTTAATCACGCCTACACTACCACTACATTACACACAAACACACACACACACACAAAAATACAAATACACTTTGATGTTGGTCTTATGTAATACTGAGAATTCCCAATTAGTTAAAACATATGATCTTATTTTTCGCCTTGTTAACTTACATACTTTAAAGAGAAAAAGAATAAATGAATACTGAACAATGTCATCTTGTTTTATCGGATGATATTTTGAAAGTTCCTATTTTGTTTCTGTGTGTATGTTTTCTTTTCTTTTTTATTGAAAAATAACAAGTGGAGAAAGAAATTACACATTGTACAAATTGTTGAACACAAGAAACTATTGAAAGTGTTGCCTGTTATCACATAATTATTATCATGAATAATGAAGAAAAATAATAACTGATCAATACAATGATACATATTACATCATAAATGATTATATAATAACTTTCTATATTGTTAAATGTGACTGAACATACACAATAACTATATATATATTAGGAATACAGTGATATGGATGAATTGTGGCTAGTAACCTTTTGTTCAATTCAGAACTAATAGCTTTATGATGTGACTTTATTTCAGTGTTGATTTTGACACATTAAGGATTCGAACCAAACACTTTTCGTTTGAGACGCCAATGCGTTATCCACTAAGGTACTACTAGTGAGTATGGAAAAACACTAATTTGTTCTATGGGATAATTCAAACGCTTAATAATAATGATACAAGAGTGATGTTTAACGAAAAGTTAGTAAACATTTAATTTATGATAAACGTGACTATTATTCAGTAGCATTGATGGAATACTATTTAACGCTTGATATCGATGATATAACTCAATCATTAAATCGGTTTTCAGCCGGACTCTTCTATGTGACGGGTAGTGATACCACCCAGCTGTTAAAAATAAAACTGAGTCCAATATCTGAATTTTCAACAATATGGTTGAAAACAAAGTATTTCAAATCAGTAAAGTCATCATCGAAGACAATTATGGTAAGGAATTTCACCATTAAAGCTTCTTATTAGTAACTGTGAATTCTGATTTCCAACTAAGGAGGATTCGGATCATCCAAGTTTAAAATGAATATCTAATCGCTCTATGAACAAATAATATTGGTTTAGTTGGAAAAATTCCGAAATACTACAACAAAACTCCAATCCAGTGGTTTTAATTGTTGAGTGCTCACTACGAGGTCGGAAGATCTTGAGTTCAACCCTCAGTGTGGTCGTTGGCGCCCACCTTTGAGGAGTCCCAACACAACTGTGCAGTGCTCTTCAGTTCTTAATGGTGCTCCAACCGAAGTCCATTTGTGATGAATACAACCTATAAGTTATTGATTCTATTATTCCATTTTTTACACAATAATTTAATCGTTAAATAATCCGACCTACCAACTAACAGGTGATGAGTTCAAAACACTACACTGACTGTATCAGAGTTTCGGAGGTAATCAATTAGTGTTGATCAAAACCTGGACATAAAAAAGTACGCTACATCAAACAACCTTCTTTCAGTCTGGTTTTTTTAATCTATGCAACATATAAGTTATTCAATTCTGACTCATTATTGAAAATTTCAATTAGTACAATGATTCGATGAGTATTAGTACTGCAACAAAGCTGGTGGATTGGATAATATAACAGAAAGATTTTTAAATCATTTTCATACTTCTCGACATTTTCTAGCAAATAATCTTTGTATATGCATACGAATTACAGTTCTTCTTTAGAATTCATCAACTCCATCATCAAGCACAGTAAACGATAACACCATTATTCGCAAATCCCGGACGTAAAATTATTCATTTAAAGCGTCTCATTTACGTGCGAGTGATGTGTTGAAGATATTTATGATCAAATGTATAAAGTTTTACTTCATTTGTCTCAATGATTATGTTTTATACTAATGCTAGGATAAAATACTAAGCATTCCATGCTTTAAACACTACTATTTATTTCAACACATAAACATCGGTACAAGGAGGCACCAAAATATAAATGCGGCACACAATAAATCATTAAATTTATGTGTAGTCTAGGATACTACCAGGGTGCCCAAATCGAAGCAGATATTTTTCTTGGGGACCGACTCCCTGAGCCTTTTAGCCAAAGGTCTAATCCACAAGGTAATGGAGCAGCTTTAAGAGATGCAGTCCCATGGTAGTCGGTGAGCGAGGATGGGTTCATACATCATTTGCCACGAGAAGGCAGTGAATAGAACTTTCCTGTAAGTGGCTATATACACGTAGCCATATGACAGCATTTCGAGAGGGACAACGGACTCTCCCCACCCTTAGCCGTACAAAGGCATTTGGAGTCACTTAAAATGATTTTCTTGGCAGTGATCAACCTCTAATAATCAAGTATTAATCCAGTTTAAAACCTTACTTTTTTATGTGAGATTGCTAGTGATAACGAATCAAGTGGAGTGGAATCTAAACTTGCATGCTAATGGTTATATATAAATGCTTAATAAATACAAATGTCATTAGTTCTCGATAATTTATCAATTACATAAAACCCATGTGTGTGAGAGAGAGAACGAGTATGTCTATAAATCTGTGAAAGGAACATAATAGCAAAAGAGACGCATCTGTGTAAAATGGCCTTATTATAATCACAGCTGTCTTATTAATGCCTGCTAGCAAGCATTAAACATAACAAAATTAGGCACATTTTGTTAGTACTATCATTCATAATAATAATAATAATAATAATAATAATAATAATAATAATAATAATAATAATAATAATAATAACGATGTAATTGATGTGCACGAACTAACACTATCAATTCATATTAAATAGAACCCATTCAAGGAAGAAAGAGGATAAGACGGTAAATAAGAACTATACATTATAAACTATTTTAATAATAACAAAACAGCGATAAATAGATAGATAGATAATAAATTCAAGTAGGCTGAAATATAGCTTCTAATATTAGGAACAAGGATAATACTACTTATATAAGCGTAATAAGAAGCGCGAAACACACAATATTAAACAAACAACGATAATAATTAGCTATTCGATCGATAGCAACAGGTAGATGCAGATGTGCATACACATCAACGTACATACATTTACATACATGCGTGTATGTATACTTCAGTCCTATAATGTTGTCTAACATATTGCACCAAATGTAGGACTTATACATGTTCTTTTATAGACAGGATTATGGAACCAAAGGAATACTCAGTCAATATTGAATGATTGACTGTATAATTTCAGTGATAAAGACCACAAGGGAATATATATGAAGCCTCTACCAACAAGGCAAACTCCTAAGAATATTGAGTATTCTACAGAAAATACCAATAAAACTGAAAGATGATGTTATTCGAAACATGTTATAAGAATTGACCTTGACGACCATAATTTAGTCATCGACAAAGTACATTGTAATGCATTCGATTAATAACAACTCGATCGCTTACTAAACATATACAGGGAGAGAACAACAAAGTTTGTAGAATAAAATGAATTCATCAGCTGCATACAACATGAAATAACAATTATTAATATAAATATCACTATTAACAATTGTTTAGAATACCTTAGTTTGTGAAGTTTAGATAAATGTTCAGGGACGTAACCAAAATCTTAATCATAAGAATAGGGATACAAACTGTATTTATTTATTTATTCGAACACATAAATATTGGTGCAAGGAGACACCAGATATATATGCGCCATACTTTATCATTCGATTTGTGTACGGGCTCGAATACTACCGAAGTAGGTGGTTTTCTTAGAAGGTCACACATGGAGGCTTTGACCTAGAAGTTTAATCCACAAGGCAGTGGATCAACGCAAGAAGATGCAGTCCCATGATAGCCGGTGACCAACAATAGGTTCATACGCCATTTGTTTTCATAGGATTCTGGAGCCCATATGCACCATTAATTTGGGATCAGGGTTTTCCAACTCCCCTAGTTGGATCCTCAATATCCACTAACCCGAATAAAGCGTTGGATATTCTCTTTTCATCCTCTAAACAGCATAAACAACACCCACTCCGCTAGAAGGCAATAAGTAGGACTTCCCTGAGAGTGTCTACATGTGCGTTGGTATTTGGGGGTATTTTAAGAGAAAGAGTGGACTCCCTCCACTCTCGATCGTACCAGGGCATTTAGGGACAACAAACTGTATGAATAAACGTAGTTAAGATCCATGTTGGGAAGTAACAATTCAGAAGTTACGTAAGAGTAGTGAAATCAATAGATGATTGGTTAATTGTTCAACATGATAAAATAAACAAATAAGTGGACATCAATCAGACTATGTAGGTGATGAATATTAGAAAACGAAATAATAATAAGAATAAAAGTGTTAGGCAAAGGATTATTTTTGATTACGTTCTTGAACATTTACCTAAACTTCATAAACTAAGGTATTCTAAACATTTGTTAGTAATGATAATTATATTAATAATTGTAATTTCAAGTTGTATGCAGCTGATGACACATCGTGAAATAGACTGATGAATTCATTTCATTCTGCAAACTTTTTTTGTTCTTGCACTATATTTAAAACAATTGATAACTTTCATTTAAGTAACTGATGGATCCATCTTTACTTATAATGCTTGTGAACTAAGGCAATATCGAAACAATCCGCACAGTATGCGCAAATGCCAATAAAAGACTGATCAATTACAGTCCTAAACATCAATAAGAAGATTCAAATAAACAATATCCAGTGAATTTAAACTTCATCCCATTGCACAAGCTAGCGGTTATTAGAACTCAGTAGCAGAGTAGGTAAAGCGATGGCGTTTGGAGCGAACGTTACTGGGTTCGAGTGCCGGGGTGATCATCAACTCTGAGATGCAAGTACATCCGGCTGACGAGTCCCAAATGGGACGAAACGCTCATCCTGGACTGCAATGCTAGCCATTATCCATCTTCCCTACTAGACCTAGTTCGATTTGAATATCTGGATAGAATTGTGATGTATGATACTTATGTTGACAGACACAAATAGTATGTAACACCAATCAGAAATGGAATGCGTGTCAGCAGAATATTGAGAAGATTCAATTGAAAAGAACAGAAAGAGAAACAGAGAGTAGTCGTAATAACAGCAGAATTGAAAGAATTATGAAGTATGTAATTGATAACTAATGGAAGACATGCAAATGATGTATTTAATGTATGGTTTTCATATTCTACGAAAGTACTAAACAATAAATTTGTCTTCTCCAGCTAAGTTCTCATTCACTACAATATCATTGGCCTTAAAATTCAAATAGTGTAACTTATAGCCAAATACATAAAACTGTACTTGGTTTAATTAATTATTTAACAAACTTATGACAAAAAAGTGGTGAGTACTAAATTGAAATATTCATTTTAATTAATAACTTGAATAAATGCTTAACTTGAAAACCAAGGAGAAAGGGGAAGACAGAGAGAGAGAGAGGGAGAGGGGGAGAAAGAGTATAAAACCTTTTTAAAACTTTATACAAAAAAAAACTTACAGAAATTAATTTTGCATATTTATTTCCTGTATTCATGAGAAAAACAGTAACATATGGAGTAAAAATAGCTGTATAGATAATAAGTGCTAATATAATCCAATCCCAAACAGCTTTAAAAACACTATAATGTTTCAATGTAAATTTATGCATACGTGGAGATTGAAAACGATGCTCAACATGTAAATCTTCATCCATAGATAGAAACTAAAATAAACAACAACAACAACAACAAGAAGAAAAACAGAGAGAAGACAATAAGTAGATTTACACATAAAACAATCATTAATCTTAAAGAAAAAAATATATTACTATCTAAATGAAAGTTGAATTCGACTATATTAGTATTGGTTCGTTGTGTAATATCTGTCTCGGTAAAATTAAGTTTGATTTATAAAAGTTTTGGTGAAGTAGAGTTCTTCGAATCGGATGTGATAATGCAATTAGATCTAATTTATTATTTGTTTAGATGTATAAATATTGGTAAACAGAGGCATCATATTAAATATGAGACATAATAAAAAAATGAGATTATGAAGTGTTATATCTTGTGACTGCCAATTAGGGAGCAGTGAATTATCGATCGGATCAATGATGCGTAAACCCGTATGAGCAGTCTAGAGTTCTGATTGGTCCTGCTTTCCGCATAGCCCAGCCAGTTAAGTCCACAATACTAATCTCAGCCTCTGTAATATGAATCATTATATTTCAAGCATACTGAGTTTATTTACCAATCAAGCAGACCACAACGTACCAATAAAATATGAAACAACGTTCGTACAAGAATTAGCCAGATGTGGCTGTGAATGAGGGAGGCAGTGACTAATAGACAGGGAATAATTTAAGAATGGAAAATCATATAATAATAGTTTATAGGTTAAAATCAAGCTTATGATAAGAGAGACATGAATATGAATAGTTAATTAACAATTATACGATAAAAATATGCTCATAATATTGGTCCATAAATGGATCCCGAAAATTACCACTCATAATTCTTATCGGGGCATAAAATGAAGATACAGATAAATTTTAATAAATGAATACAGATATGTGAATGAATCAGGGAGTCATGAAGGATCGACAAATACCAGTTCTTTACAGCTTTCTTTAATAACAAGGTGCCAAGTTATGAACTATCTCCCCACTTTTTACTGCTAGTCTCAGAGTCGACAAATAAAGGCCGATGTGACAGTCTCCGGAACAATGAAATAATGATCACTATGATCAAACACACGTCACCGAACCCCTGCATTACTAACATGGTGTTGTCACTGAATGGTACTGGGCAGAGATGGTGATTAAGTTGATGATGCAGTGAATTTTTGACGACCTAGGAGGCTAGAGCATGTGTTGTGTATCCCCAAACACCGGCGATCTTGACAAATAATATTAGTTGGAACAGAACTGAAGACAGGTAAATTAAGACATATTTTGAAATTACTGACCATTGAAATAAGTCAATATTAATAGGTACAGATCACCTGATCAAAGAAACTTGGTAACATGACTTAGATTCAATCTTCATATTGCAACCCCATTTACTTTTGATCTTCCTCATAGCCTGAAGATTTAATCATATTGCACACGTTTAATTTCTCAAATTTATGCCTCCATTTTGTATGATCTTTTTCAGTGTTTACTCATTTATACTAGTACTAATAACTACTATTGTTCCAACTGTCTTGTTATTCCTTGTTAATTGAATCTTCCTGTGTTGGAATTGGTATGACAATTTGGGTTAATGCACATTTGTAATAGGCTTTATGTTGAGTATGATTAGCTAAATGTTTTAAAATTCATTCAGATGAAATGTTGAAACAGTCCCAATGAGTAAAATTATCAGTCCAACTAGATAAGTTATCATTTTAGTCAATTTTTATAAAAGCAATATGACGACTGTCATAAGAAATATAAACAAGTTTTTTTAAAAAAAACAAAAACCACCATATTTCCCATTATGATTGAGATTATGAAACGATCAATGTTAAACCACCATTAAAAACCTGGAAGTACTGAACGGACATTTCATCCTAGTATGGAACTTCTTAGTTATTAATCAGTATTGATCTGACTAATTGATGTATCCCTCATCTTAAGCCTATAAATGAATACAAGAAGCCAGACTAAATTTTTTTCAAAAGGGTAAGATGATACAGTATGACTAACCAGACATCAAACAAATGATAAGCTCACGCAATCGGTCATGATTTGGGTTGATTTTCTAGGGATTAGGACACCCTGTTGAAGAGAAACTGTGGCTTAAATTTCTAGGAGTCATATATATATATATATATATATATATATATATATATATATATATATATATAAGCGCAGTTATTATTCGATTCTATTGGTCAATAAAATGCTTCCTTCTCATTCAGTAACTAGTTTGAGGGCACGTACAAGAAGTTTATGTATCCGTATTACAATTGAACACATATATCTATGCAGAATAAAAGTGTGATGAACTCTTTTGTACACTGATTAACTGTAATAGTGTTTCTTAACATTATACAAAATAACTGTGAATTATTTTTATTTTCACCAATTTATTGATTAGCTTGTCTGCTTACGTAATCGTTTGTTGTTATTCGAATTTTTTGTAAATTTTACCTTTATTTTGTTTACCTACAAAATGTACTTCTTTTGTGTTTACTTCTCAATTTTGTTTTCTTTTCCCTTTTATTTATAATTTTAACGATGGTTAGTTACACGCACAAACACAAACACACACACACACATACACACATATATACACACTGTTTATAATCTAAATTTATCAACTACAAATTAGATGAAGAAATTTACGATTAAAACAGACATTAAGTACTTCCACGTATTCAATGGTGGTCTAGTTTAGATTAACTTGTGATTTTAACTGTAAAAAATATTTCCTTTTATTATTGTTCTTCATTTGTTCAGTGGAAAAGAGAAAATTCAGTTTTATATAGAATGATTATAAATATGTAACATATTTAATAGGGAAAGATAGATGGTATGGGTAAATTATTATTTATTTCAATGGTTAAGATTATGAGTCAGTTGAAACTAGACCACCATGGGAAACTTGGAAGCACTGGACGGCCGTTTCGTTCTATTGTGAGACTCCTCAGCAGTGTGCATCCACGACTCCGCCTCGCGGGATTCAAACCCAGGACCTACTGGTTTCGCGCGCGAGCACTTAACCACTAGACCACTGAGCCGGCATCCAACGGTGTTAATGTCTATCTTCAACTAATTCACGAAATAATCTTAACCATTGAAATTACTATAATATCCACAAAACCCATCTGATATTATTTATTTTATTTGAACACATAAATATTGGTACAAGAGAGCACCAAATATATATGCGCTACACAGGTAAGTATATAAAACTAGATAACTTTTGAAAACAGTACCATATTGTTAAAGTTCGATGTTTTTTGGTTAATGTTGAAATCCATGATTATGTAGGATGAATAATAAATTGAAAGTTAATGAAAGAAATTCATAATTCATTGATCATTGGGTGGTGATCAATGTCATGTGTGTCAAGTCCTTCTTAGTACAAATCGAATGCTATCAACAAAGTTGTAATGTGGAAACTAGTCTAGGTGACTCAACATTGCGTGCATTATGTTGAGATTAGATGGTGGTTGGAGGCAGTCAACAGGAAACCCTTGATCCGGGTTTCGTTCTACTTGGCACTCGTCAGCAAGGTGTACCTGAAATCTTAAGGGGACTGGTGCTCCCTGATGGATTCGATCCCGTGTCACCCATCAATTGAAAGATTCAAACAACCAATACGAAGATGAAATAATAGTGAACTATTGAAATATAACAAAAGAAAGAAAGTTTATATTATGAAATGCTTTTAAGATTTTAATTATATATTCTTTAAACAGAGAACACAAAACACCTAACAGTTTAATACAAAAATATCAATTCTAGTCGTGTTGGATCCCTACCCTGACCCTTCCCCCGCCGTCCAACATAATTTTGTCTTTCAAAATAAATGTACACAGTTAAAAACTTTCTGATCTGAGCCATGTTGGTAAATGCAGTCTACTTGGTTGAGGTTCGCGCGATTATCGTAACCAACGGTTGGAGACTCTAGTAGACATGGCTCAGAATCGATCAAAATGGTGTAGGTGTATACACTTTTTGTCTTCTCTTAAACCATGAGATTAAAATTACTTTTCTTCCAATGAAGCAATTCTTTCTCCCTATATCATATCCTTATATAAATTGAAGTAGCTGCTTCTATGAATTCGGTATTTATCTTGTGGTGTTAATGAGGTATGGCAACTTAGACCAATTAATATATGTGCCTGGTCCTACGTTGTAGCTAGCTGACTGTATGTTTAGAAAAAATTGGCTCAAAGGGAATATGAATAGAAAATCTGGACATTACTGAGGTATTCTCTTTTTAGCAGTTTAAGTCTGAACTTTGTGTTAGAAAAAAAACAGAATTCTAGGTATCATTACCAAGGTTTGACTTGATAATTTCGAATAAATTGAGCAGTAGGTAGATTGTTATAAATAAATAAGCATATTTGTAATATCCCAATGAGTAGAAAAATAAGATTTTTTGACGTTTCGTGACTCAGTGCAAGCCACTTCTTCAGAGAATAAATATCCAAAAGTCAGAAAATATAATTTCTCTACTCATTGGGATATTACAAATATATTATCTATTACAACAAAGAATAAACATGTTACTACCTTTATGGTGTAGTAGTAGGTTGGAAGAGAGCTAGGGGCGGCCAGACCAAAACATGGCACAAATCCATGAAGTCACTGACAAGTGGACTGAGCCATGTTGGTAGGTGTAGACTACCTGGTTGGGATCCGCGAGATGATATCAACCGATGGTTAGAGACCCTGAATGACATGGCTCAAAATCGTTTGCAAAGGCACAGGTGCATTCACTCTTTGTGTTTTCCCAAATTCTAATCTGAATTCTTCAAGTTCTTTTTTTCTCTTTCCAAATTCATTTTACTGGATTATACTCCCTGAATAACATCTTCAAACCCTAATCTTTTCAATGACTGCCTATACTTTTACTACCTCTACCACTATGGGATTTGAATCGACAATTGTGTCTGTGCTAATGTGGTATGGCAACTTGAACTGATTTACCATTTTTTGTTGTTGTTTGTTTGTTTATTATTTTCCATAGTTTTGTTCGAAATCTTAGAAAACAAATTAAGGTATTAACT